TCTGCAAAAGATTAAGAAAAGACAAAGCATGTTTGCAGGTGTTGTCGATTGGGAAGAAGGTAAATGGTTGAACAAGAAAAGTGTGCATTTAGAAATTAAGAATATAGGTTATTTGCAGTGTAATCTGAACCATTTATTTTACTTTTTTAAACTTTTTTATCTATGGCTGTTTTATTAAAAAGTTAGTGGTGAAAGCTATATTTACTTATGTCTTTTTGATGTTGTATAAATCGCATAACAGTCCATTTTTGTTGTGGTTTGTAAGTGGGAAGTGGAGCTGTTGATCTTTTGTGTACTCAAACAATTCCAAGTACATCCTTTTATAATTGTCAGTCAGTCATGTTGCTTTATTTTTTTGAGCAGCTGAACTGTGATTCATTAATAATCGGTAGTTTGTTCAAAATCTCAGCTTGACATCCAATATTCTGTTTATCAAGTAAAATCAAACTAACTCAACAGCATGTTTCTGCAACCAGCTGTAATCTCCTGTAATAATAAGAACCCTTTGTGCAAACAAAACCAACAGTTTTAAACCCAGTATGACAAACTGGAGGTCAGAAATTTACATCAAAAACTATCTATGGGAACAGAAGTCTTTTTACGTTTAAAGAACAGACCCCTTTATTTTCAACAAAGACCCCCATTTCTAGAGTTTTTACCCAGCCATGCATTTACATTTGCTGAGGGCAGTATGCCCCCCACCCCCCAACACACACACAGTTTTTTCATCTTTATTATCCTCCTCTTTTCTTTTCATTGACAATTTGAATTAAGCTTCTGTACTCTTGTAAATCCATACATTGCTGTTTGTCCCAGTCTGAGACACAGCTGTTCATGGTTATTTTGGAATTACTTAAAGTCTTTATGAACAATTTTGGCCGAAAAATGCATATTTGACTCCTTATGTTCAGCTATTCTTTGTTTCATTTTGTTTTTATTCAAAGCTTTATTTAACAAGGTAGATCCCATTCAGATTACAAATCTTTTATGTCAAGAGAGACCTGGTCAGAATGCCAGCAGCACATAAACATTACCAGTAATAAAACCACTGTAGTGAAAGTATTATAAAAATAAGAGGACACAAGCTAAAAACTATCAAATCAGTTAAAATATTTACAAAAAGAATGACCTTAAGATCATTAAAAAAAGACCAACCCCATCAGCTTCAAGTCTTTCTGCAGTTAATACCAGTCTAAGAGAGCAGCAAACTCGAATGGTATTTTACTATAATCTGTATGAACCTTAGGTGTAGTTAATAAAATTAAATCATTAGAGTGCTTAGATTAACCTCCTGAGGAGTTCTTAACAATATAAGATAGGAGATAAGGGAGAAGGAAACCCAATAATGCTTTGTAAACAAGATTATGCCAATGGCAGAGTCTGCAGGTGGATAAGGCTGTCCATCGAACCTGGGTATGCAAAACACAGTAATGGACAAGATAATAAACAGAGTCTAACATACGGTAGCAGTGAGATGCATAAGAATTATGTCTCTGTAGTCTAAGATGGACCAACAAATGGCAGCAACAAGGTGTTTTCTAGCCTCAAAATATAGGTATGAATTAATTCCAGAATCAAAGCCTAACTTCATCTTCAACTCTTTCACCTGCTATCAGATATTGGGAACAAAATCCAGGGCATCATCAATATTAAAACATATGTATTTACTCTGATGTATTACTTTGATCTGAGAGCCATGAAAAGTAATAGTGGACAGCAACAACTGTGGTTTAGACTTAACACATAGCGTTGTGTTGGCAGCACAATATAAGAATGTGTGAACATCTGAAAAACGAGCCCAAAGAATCGAGTTCCCAAAACCCACGCAACCACAGTCCAGAATTTGGATGTTAATATGGATGTTAATTGTTCATTCTGTGCGGCCCTCAGCTTGCTCCAGGAACCAGATCACAGATGGGGGTGGGAGTGGGGGGAGGTGTGGGGCAGACCCTCAGTCGACGTACACATCCAGGAAGAATTTAGTCCACAGCTCCCAAGGTCATGTAAGAGAGAGCCAAATTCTGTAATCAGTTGTTTTGGGAACAGAAGAGAATGTTCTGGGCCAGGCAGACAATGACAATTTTCCATCTGCTTTAACGTCTGCTGGTACTTCTCAATGTGGCAAATCCAATCAGACAAATAGTGTGGACAAATTCCACGGAGCCGGGCTATCTTTCTCCAAGATAAATTCCATCTGGCCAGCAAAGTCCAGGGACCACAGCCGGCCCGCGATTGTCAGCAGAACCGCTTGTAGACCGAGTCCAGCTCGCACAAGGCAAAAGTCTTGAGTGCTGATAGAACGACAATCCTTCATATTGGTCAGGCAGTCAGGAAATGAATAGCCACCAACGCTGTTTGTAGAACACTAGGTGACCACCAAGCCAATCTGTAGAATCCAGTGATCGGAATCCAAATATATATCCAGAACAGAGCAGAACAGAGGTCCCACCTTTGACATGTCCTCCCATGGAAAAAAAACTTTGTTCCAAAAATTTATTAAGAGACCAGCTAACCAAATCCCTAAAAGTAAAAATATCCATAATGTCTTGTTTCGGATGAAAACGTAGAGAAAGCTCCGAGCAGCAAAGCAGGGAAGATAGGACGGGCAGGAGAGAAGGAAAAAGCGTCTTGCTCCTCCAAGAGTGGAACAAAAAAATTAAATAAAAATAAAAATTAAATTAAATTAAATTTTGATTTTAAGGACACATTAACCATCAAAATGTAAAATAGTTAAAATTATATCTAAATTCATTTTCTTCTCCAGTCAGATGTTTGTAGCATTCTGGTAGTGTGTTTTACACAAATGCAAGCTTTAGCTGCTTACCAATGTTTTGATGTCAGGATGTCCAAATGTCACTTCACATTATGCTTTTTACCCATGACTCTTCTCCTCACATGGTTTACATGTCTTGTTTAAATTGGCATTCATTGTAAAATGTATCTTCTTCTCTTCTTTCTGGATTTGTATTAGGGGTCCAAGCCCTTAGCAGCTCATTTTATTCCACAGCTGACACTGCTAAAAATGACAGATTTTCTTTTCTGGATCTCTGACAGAAGGACTTCAGTCTCTGAACTCGTAAAGTTCTTCTTTTTAGTTTTCACTGTCATTTTCATGAATGGACATCTGAGGCAGGAAACATAGCCTTATATGGTGTTTTTGGGCTGATGTGCCCAAATCTATATATACATATATTTTTTGACCATACAGTATTAGTTAGTAAGGCTCTGCAGGCAGTACATGCTGCTGAAGCTGTGCAGCAAAAGAAAGGTCAATTGTGTGAAAACACTCCTAGTTGCTACTCAGTGATTCAGCAATGAACACAGGGTGAACATGCCAAACGGTAGGGGTGAGGTCAGTTCAGCGCACCATCAGCACTGTCTGAGCCTCTCAATGTTTTTTCAGCTAATCAACTGCTTGAATCAGTGTCAGGTTTGTCTGTGACACTTTTTTTCAGCATGGCAAAAGGCTTCTTTACGTTAACGCACCTTTAATTGTACTTTTTCTCAGTGCCCAAAACCTTCTTATTTAAAGCACAATTGTTGCAGCACAGATCATAGGGTGTGTAATACCTGGTTCACACAGCAAGATTTTAAAATTGTCGGCTGATTTTCAAAGGCTGAGGGACCAAACACATGATGAAAAAAAATTCTAGATTCACTAGGATGGGTCTTATAAACACAAACATTCAGATGTCAGAAGGGAAATCTCAAGAAACTTCTCAAGATCAAATGTGAGTTCAGAGTAAATAAACATGGAAGACATGGAAGAAGCAATGGAGATAGTTTGGTTTATTTTTAACAGAGAAACAAAAAACAAAATCTGGTCTCCGGTATCCACCAGACTTTCCGGTGCACCATGGCAGTTGTTTTTGTCTTTTGTATTTTTGATTCCCCTCCACGTTTCCGTTGTGACAACCCGCTAGTTGCTGTGAGCTGGTTACACAATTTTCCTCTTTCCCTCGGCCCATCCCGTCCTTTTACACTCTCCGATACACCCTGGAACGTTCTTCCCCCGGACTCACCTGATTGGTTGCCTGGTCCAAGATGTTTCTACCACGGAGGTAAAGATGGCAGTCTTTCCCCAGACCCGGTGATAGAAACAACCACCACAAACATTCCACCAGTGTTTGACATCATAGGAATTATTAAAAGGAAAATAAGACAGAGGCTGGTTAATCCCTCGACTATTTTTGTTATCATTCCTTCGTTAGCTGAGTGGCCAGTTTCACAGAGGAGAAGAAAACGGAGACCAAAACAAAACACGTCTGCTCAAAATGCTACGACGTAGCAAACCAGAAGTCCTGGGAGTGGTGACGTCATCAAAATAAAAAGTTACATTGCAGAGGGAGAAAAGAAAAACGGATTCCTGTTTCTGTTTATTTGAAACTTCCATCACATCATCTCTTTTGCTGTGGGGCAACAAAGTGTTCGGGAGCCTTTGCCTGCCCTGAATATTGGACTTTGTAAAAAAAAAAAAAGAAAGAAAAAGAAAAAAAGGACACTTAACATTGTGTTTTTTGTGGGGGTTTATTAATTTTTGTACTTATTCATGGACATTTTGAAACTATAAAAAAGAAGAAAAAATAATTGTGAATGACAAATACACTGTG